TGTCAACATTGATTATCTGTTAATGACTAATGAAATTATTCTATTTCTCAATCGTTTAGAGACAAATTTACACAATATAATTTTCTGTCAATCACAGCAATACAACATATCTATATTATTTTCAACATGTTAATATGAACACGTTTCAAGGTAATTTCTCGAAATAACATTACACATCAGATCTATGTTTACCATTCTATGACATCGCCACTATGTGACCTTACCGAATGTACATTACCAGGATATACCTGCCAGTAAAAGTATCAAAACTTTAACAGTAACGTAAACCAAATGAGTTTACTTCCCTTTGTACGGTTTTTGTCAATTTCCTCTTAACCAATTAACATTGACATTGCACAGAAATGCCAGCTGAAAGTATGAATTGAACCATATCTAAGATATGTTACTATAATTTCACAGATGTGCATTTTTTGTTAATGTTGACGAAAGTACCGCCATTTTAGCTTCGTTGACAGCTCCATTGGACAACTTTCCGACCTATTGCCAACAGCAACCATGTATAAAGTTGAATACATTATAGAATTATAGATACTATCTAATGTTGCGAAAAATAAGTAAGTTTAACTGTTATAAGTTCATTCTAAATCTTGATAAAGTAAAGCCGTCTTTATTTTCATGATTTAGTGAACGTCAACAACACTCAACTGCATAAACGTTAAAGATGGCCGCCATATTTGAGAGAGCTAGCATCAGAAAGTTGACTGTGGTAACAAATTGGAGATTTATGCGTATATGAATACTGACTTTATTTGACAACAACTGCGAAACCAACTACCAGCTCATATTATTCTTGTTTTATCGAAATGAGTCAAACAAGGAATTTAACTGCGTGAGGAAACCGGAGTATCCAGAAAAAAACCCCACATATTCTGGCGGCGCTCAGTTATGTACATTTGTCGGTCAAATTCACAACCCAGAGAAAATAATACTGAACAAATTTCGTCCAATATTAAACTTATTGCTTATATTAAAGGCAGCTTCCGTGATTCGCTCGTCATGTATTTCCCCTATCAAGCTTTCAAATACCAGGTTTGCTAAACTAAAAATGAAATGAAAGTTTATATACTCAACAAAAAAAAGAAAGGTTAAATATTTCCTTGGAGAATACCTGTAAATGAGTGAAAACAAAATGACGTTTGTGCAATATTAGAAAATGGTAATGTTTTACATTACAAAATCCAAGGGGGTTACCAAAATCATTCAAGCGTGAAAGTCTGTATTAGCGAAAGAGCTGCACGAGGTTTTCTGCGACTAACTTCTATCTTCGCTTGAATTTCATAAACAATTAAACTGTGTAAGTCGTTTAAACCAAACTGGGTCAACATCCGATCGTCCCCGAAGCGGCCGACCCCGTAAAACGACCGCCAGGGATGACCGTCGTATACAATTGATACACATGCGCAATCGATTCATAACTGCAGTAGCGACTACAAGGACGTTGTTTGGGCGTCGTGTGACTCCCCAAACAGTCCGTAACAGGATGAGGGCCTACCATTTGAAAGCGCGGCGTTCCTACACTGGACCCAATTTGTTGCGACGTCACAGTAATAATCGGCGTAACTGGGTCCGTGTTCACCGTCGTTGGGCCTTACGACAATGGAACAATGTTCTGTTTTCAGCTGAGTCCAGGTTTTGTCTGCAACACGGTGACGGAAGGCGCAGAGTGTAGAGGCAACGAGGGGAGCGTTTTGCGAACTGCTGCGTCGCAGAACGGGACCGCTTTGGCGGCGGAAGTGTAATGGTTTGGAGTGGTATTTCTGGGGGGACTCGTACCAGGCTTGTTGTGTTAAATGGCAATTTAACCGGCATTCGATATCGGGACGAAATTTTAAGACCAGTGATTCTGCCATTCTTAAGACGCCATGGCGTTGGCGTCATTTTTCAACAGGAAAACGCACCAGCGCATACCAGTCGCGTCAGCAGATCTTTCTTGCAGCAGAATAACGTACAGGTGTTAGATTGGCCATCTAAATCATCTGATTTGTCACCGATTGAGCATGTCTGGGACGTTCTTGGGCGACGAGTGAGTGAACGTCAAAATCAGCCGTCAAACTTGCTGGAGCTGGCTCAAGCCTTGATCGCTGAATGGAACAACATCTTTCCTCGAATTATCCGCCGGTTTACGAGTTCCATGCGACGACGCTGCAATGCTGTTTACTTCGCAAACGGTGGCCATACCCGTTATTAATGGTGTTATCTTTGAAATTGAACCGAACGTCCTTTACAGTCGAATAAAATCAACTGAACGCAAAGTTTTATAATGAACCATGACTGCAGTTTTATCAGAATTGATCAATCACTTTATTCGTACATGATTGGTAAGGATTTATGAAGGGGTTAATTAATTAATCACAGAATAAAGTAGTGTTACCTTTCTGTTTTTTTTTTTTTTGTTTTGTTTAGTATATTGTAATAAAATGGTTGGTGGATTATAACCTGTTTCCTTTTATTAGAATCAACCGATACAAGATTTTCATATTTCAAAATTCATCTTGAAACGGAGTACAGATATTTACAAACATTTAAGTAATTAATTCATGCAATCTTAATCAGAAACAGATATGTTTGCACTTACCAGATTACATTCAGTTAATCCATATCCTTTTGGACGCACGCGCACTGTGCATGTGATAGTGATTGTTTTTGATGACCCAACAAATCGGAAGCCGTACATGGTGTTTGTGACATTGTTTCCATTTCCTTCCCACTTTTCTCCGAACAACTCTTCGTCATGTTTACAACTGAAACATTAAAATACTTTCCCATAAAATGGCTAATTGATACTACATGTTTGCTATATAAGCAAACTGCTTATATTATTAGCATTAAGTAGTTTTTTCTTATCTGAAACGTTTAAAACGAGCCTGTAATATGAATAAAAATAACGCTTTTATTTCATCATTTTATCTTAGAATATTATTTGAAAAAATACAAATTTGTACAATTTGTTTCTGATTTGAGAGAAACTGTATTATAGCAAGGTTGCACATTACATCAGCTATACCGCATTCAGTAATGAATAATGCCGTACCAAGTAAACAAACCTGCAAAAGATGAACATTGAAGCCAGAAATTCATTTGAATGATTAGTTAAGACATATGTGAAGAATGCATTTAGATATGGATCAGACAATAAATATAAGCTTGTATTACCCTGCTTCAATCCACAATGTCTCTTCCTTTCCATTTCCTGTTGCCTTACATTCTGTTGGTTTGATATCAACATTTCCTGCAAGATATACAATGTAAATATTCAGAGGAATCAATTTTATTTCAGTTTTGCCAGATCCATGAAAAGGAGCCTCGAAGGAGTGAGTGAATACAATGTACAATAGTGTATTAAATAGGAATGAAAACAATGAATATCAATAGTGATTTGAATTTTGCATCATTCGTTCTTATTGATTGCTCATTGTATCCAGTAGCAATATCAGCCTATCATCAATTAGGTGGTCATGTGATCCATCGGTATTTACTCCTTACGTGAAAACAATCAGTGTGAAGATGGTGATGTTTAGTGCAACGTGTAAGCTGAACTGAAGGACCACGAGGTTGCCATTTTGGATCCTCGAGAGTTGTAATATTATTTGTCAGAGAAGTATGTAAAAATGACTGAATTCCTATAACATGTAAGAATCAGTTTTAAAGTGGGCAGAAAGTGTTAACCCGAAACGGTATCTTCTGTAACCCGAATTTGATCCCGTTATGTAGTATTGTAATATAAATCATACTGTAGAATATCTGGAAGATCAGTATCGTGACAATATGGCATTATTGTTAGTCAATTAATTTTATAGTTCACTGTATTGATATTGCCTGGTATGGAACAAATCAGAACCTGATTGTGGATCAACATTATTTGAAAAATTTAGTTGACACTTAGTTTGCGACATTGAAATTCCTGGAAATGATTGCTGATTGTGTGAATGTGAAATTATGGAGGAATTACACTATTTTTTTGTGTTGGATAATTACATCTGTAAACGTACATTATTCATTACTTTACATTTTACGACGCCAGAGTACAATTGTGAGACTTGTGTACTTGTATACTGTTCTTTTTGTGACCAAATTAGTACATTAGAAAGGCCCAGTCAAATGTAACTGTCTTATTCGTGATTTTCCAATAAGAGAGTATTTATACGACAGCCACAGGTAATATATAGTACAGTTACATGTTAGATATAAGACAGCCACGGATAAGTTAAAATACAGCTACCGGCAACATACTGGAGGGTTTCATGTAACATACAAGACATTCAGAGGTAACACAGAGTTCGAAATTGGATGTAGCCCGTGGCTAGTGAAAGTTACATTGGGCTAATTGATACGCATTTCCACTGGTCCGATTGGGTTAGTAATGCTAGAATTCACCATTCACGTTTTCAACGTTTCTGAAAAAAACCGTAAAGCATGCCCAACTAACATGCGCTGAGAACCAGCGTAATGTATTGTAATATAGGTCGTGAATAGGTTTAATTCGTGGTCAGAAAAAAGTTTGAGTAACTAAGAGCAATACTTGACAATGCGGTGGTATATAAGTTGCGTCAGTCCCTCATCTAAAAACAAAACAAAGCGAAAGAATATGAAAAGGACTAAAGGAGCAGGAAGTTCCTTCCTTCTTGGAAAAATAAGTTTTCTCTCTCATTTTCTTACATTTGTCTGTTACACGTTCAATATTCCTAGTGGTTATTATCTATATATTAATTACGTTACATCATTTCTTTTGTTGTACAAACACATCATAGGTTTTGTTTGATATGCAAAGATACGAATGTTGAACAAATATCTTTTAACTATTTCTAAATCTCACCTTTGTGCAATCTGTAAGAACAAACGATCCATCTGTCTGGAGCTCTGGATCAGTACAGTTGCCCACAGATGATTGGTTGAGATATCTAATTGTCAAATTAGTTAAGGAACCACCGTCATTGATGATATGGATATCCCCTTTTTCTGTGCAATCTTAGATAACAAGAATGAATAATTATTTAGGAAGTGAGGTTTTGGCATCTATGAATCTAGATAATCGGCTATAACAAGTTGACATTAATCATTCTTGCTGGACAGAAATGAAGCAAACGTGTGGTCTTATTGTGTGAGGAAACAGGATTACCCATAGAAAAACCACGTGATTTGGCAGATGACTCAATACCTTTTCACGCTCGTTCGGATAATCTATCTCCGGACGTTTAGTGGAAAGATGATACATCTTCATTTATACGCGTATATACTACACTAATAGTTGATCGGATTTATTTTCAACCTCAAGACAAGGAAGTAGTATTCTTAAAATTATATGCCGTCACTAGGATTATTCACATCTTAGTTATAAACTAGTGAAGATTATCTCAATACATAAAATAGGCTCATATTGTAAGTAATCACTTACTGTAATAAAACGTATCTGGGATAAATGTTGGTGTCAATACTGAAAATTTAGACGAAGCTGCTGGTGAAGGTGATTTAGGTGATGCTGAAACTTTAGACGGAGCTGCTGTTGAGGGTGATTTAGACGATGCTGGAGCTTCAGACGGAGCTGCTGTTGAGGGTGATTTAGACGATGCTGGAGCTTCAGACGGAGCTGCTGTTGAGGGTGATTTAGACGATGCTGGAGCTTCAGACGGAGCTGCTGTTGAGGGTGATTTAGACAATGCTGGAGCTTCAGACGGAGCTGCCGTTGTAGGTGATCTATATGATGCTGGAACTTCAGACGGAGCTACTTTTGCGGGTGATTTAGACGATGCTGGGGCTTCAGACGGAGCTGCTGTTGAGGGTGATTTAGGGGATGTTGCTGTTGAACTTTAGTCGGAGCTGCTGTTGTGGGTGGTTTAGGTGATGCTGAAGTTTTAGTCGGAGCTGCTGTTGTGGGTGGTTTAGGTGATGCTGAAGTTTTAGTCGGAGCTGCTGTTGTGGGTGGTTTAGGTGATGCTGAAACTTTAGACGGAGCTGCCGTTGTGGGTGGTTTAGGTGATGCTGAAACTTTAGACGGAGCTGCTGTTGTGGGTAGTTTAGGTGATGCTGCAATTTTAATTGGAGCTGCTGTTGAGAGTGGTTTAGGTGATACTGAAACTTTAGACGGAGCTGCTGTTGTGGGTGGTTTAGGTGATGCTGAATCTTTAGCCGGAGCTGCTGTTGAGGTTGTTTTAGATGATGTTGGTGATGTTAACTTTACTGTAGTGACGCCGAGGGAGGCGATGCAAACCTAAAACCAGTCATGTCATTAATCGCTATAATTAAAAGGATACTGTATATGAATCTTAATACAAAACTGCTGTTATTTAACATTGCTGTAATTGAAAGTGCAATTTGTCAAATAACTTACCATTAGCAGAATAAAGGTCAATCCGTGCCGTGCCATTTTTAACTATTTGATTTCTTCTGATCTGTTGTAGAATATAAAACAGAAATATATATTGTAAGATTAAAACAATTATATTCATTTTGGATAATCATAATAATAATAATTTGTTTTGGTTTACAAATGCAATTGGATTATGGCAGAATTTCGTATACAATTCCCGTATCTATAAAGTATCATATAGATTCGATCGTTTATTATTTGGCAAATTTTCTGCTAATAAACATGATATAATAATAATGATGTGATATATATGCAAATGGATTCTAATAAGTTTTTGAGGACATTGAGTTGCTTAACTGATTTGATAATTGCATACCATTAAGATTTAACGCCAACTTAAGTACGATTTATTGTTGTTTTACACGAAATCCATACATTTTACATAAAGATATCATCATGTAATGATGTTTTAAAATGTTTAAAAGTTTGATGTATGGAATGTTCGGTCTGTTTATCGATATAACAAAATATAACATCCAGATGGTTGTTCGTGAAAATACAAATAAAAAAAGCAAATCTGTCATATAGTACATGTTACTTAAGCAATTAAATAAATATTGTTATATGTAGTAGTAACTGTCTTAAACAATATATAGCCGAATTTTTCTTATGGTATTAAATATGAAATCGATATGTGTGGCTTTGGAAAATGTATGTAAACGTATGTGCTTCAAAATCAAAATCAAATGTTTACTCGTCGACATATAGAACACACTTCATATCTTAAATTTGAAATCTAATTTCTAAGAATGCAAAACATTATTTGGCAATTTTATTGAAAAACGTACATAAATCACTTACACAGACGGTTATTTATGCAAAACGTATGACAACATGTGTTATCGATATCTCCACAACACCATGTTAACGGAAAAATAAGATATATACAAGATGAAAGATTGATTCATAAAATTGCTGTACCTTTTTTGTAATGCAAAATGACTCTGCCCCTGCTGTCCTTAACTGATCCTGTGCAGCCTTATATTACACTGTGAACCTTTATATAGTATCCCCGATAACACTTTCGGAATGCTAGCGATAAACGAAATCGTTATTAGTTGGAAGGGACAGCTTCCAACATCGTTTCGGCGAATTTATGGGACTTGTTAGTAACCACACAGAGGGAGAGGAATTTAGAATTATTTTGACCTATCAAGTTATTATAATAAGTTTGACCCTTCATAACAGTGATCTGATTGGCCAATAAGGCAGTGACTCAACACGGACCATAACCTCCATACATTATCTTAGCTTTCATCAATCATAGTTACCTAGGTGAGGTTTGTCAATGGCTAAGCTGAACACTAGGTGTAACAAAATCTTTACGTTGTGTCATAAATAAAGCGTTAGTAAGGCACATAGGGATTTACCGTTTGTATCCCAGACATTTTAAGTTCAGGCGAGCACAAGTTTAAATCCTTGTATAAATTGCAGATTTTAACATTAATTTTATGTTAAAATTGATAAATAGCACGGGTGAAATTCTTTTTTCACCTCCTGCTCTAGATATTGACATTTCGGTCGACCACTTTTGTATTTTCTTCAGTTGCCTGATAAGTTGAAATTTAGGCCCTTAGCATTACTGACGAGTCGTAGAAGGACGCAACAGCTGAATAATGCAGTGAAATACCTTGTTAGGCTCTACTGTATCTTAACTTAATTTGTATTAAAAAAGTGATATTCTCAATATAAGTAAATTTCCTGAACGTACAAGAGTTAAAATTAGAAACATTCGATCAAAATAAAGAATTAAACTGGATAATGCCGTAGTTTTGTCCCTCTCATTTCTTGCCTACATTCAATGAAAATAGACAATCATTTTCAAATAATGGTATTCATTTAAAATTAAAACCATCAGGGTCAGTCTTTTTTTTTTACGTGATGCTACATTTTGGGAAACGACAATTCAACAATTGACGAAGAACAGAGCAAATCTTTTAAAATGCATATTAATTTCAATACAGATGTACAGAGTTTTGACTGATGATTGAGGCTTGAAATATTTTTTGTACATCCTGTAGTGCTCAATTACGTAACAAAAAAACCCCATCAAATTATTAAAACATTTCAACCACACTAGTGGACATATAGATAAAATGTCTAAAAGAAAATTTACTTACCATGTTCATTAAAAAATGAAATGGGTTTCGTTTCCTTATTTTAATCCATTCCTAACATTATTTCGATTTCAGCATTTCAGGAATTAACTGCTTTCACAAACTTAAGTTTGGTCTAGAATTATTTAGAATAACAACTAATCTTTCCGACCAAAATAATGCATTGAACAATAAAGCATAATGCATTTTGGGCGACAAAGTTTGCATCAATTAGGTGTAAATGGCAAAAACAAAAACAACAAAGATAACAACATATAAACATAATTACTACACAAATAAAAATATTTCCTCAAATGAATTATTAAGGTATATCATCAAAATCGGGTTAAGCGAGATTTGACAGCATATTTCTATATATTACATATTATAACATATATTGTTATAGATCATGAACATAAACTTCATTTTTTCATTTTTATAATGTTAAAGTAATAGTATACCACATAAATGTTGACAATAATTTTACGTTTCCTTTCACATATTTCCGTGCCTGTTATTGGTTGTCTGACTACGTATTATCAACCGTGCAATAGAATGCTTATCAATAACAGCAAAATTGTTATGGTATGTCATGTTAACCCATATTTATTAAATCTGAATCTCGTTGATTCCAACCTAAACAATGAATGCGTACATCCGGTATCTTGTGTAAATAAGAACTCCTTGTAATATTCGCGCTGTAAGATGTGGAAATTGTACGCTGACCTGACAACGTAGGATTGTTTGTCCTATTCATGGCGGTAGATATTAATAAATTTAGCACATATACTGTTATGCTGATACGATCCGAATACTATACGTGCCGAAGCATCAACGTTGAAATTAAATTATTCTTGTTAATGAACTACGAGGCAAATATTTCAAGGTAGACCTTTATTACATGGAACGCAATATTATTTGCTTTCAGTCGTTGCTATATCAGATAACAGTTGGAAAAGAATATTTTTTACTCGTTTGTGAAAGACCTGATCAATTAGATATCTTCGTTTTACGACTGATTCTTTAAGATATGGGACCAGTTTAGAGCGGACTAACACTGACATACGAAGTGTACGAGACCAGTTTGGAGCGTACTAACACTGACATACGAAGTGTACGAGACCAGTTTGGAGCGTACTAACACTGACATACGAAGTGTACGAGACCAGTTTGGAGCGTACTAACACTGACATACGAAGTGTACGAGACCAGTTTGGAGCCTACTATCACTGACATGCGAAGTGTAAGAGACCAGTTTGGAGTGTACTATCACTGACATACGAAGTGTACGAGACCAGTTTGGAGCGTACTAACACTGACATACGAAGTGTAAGAGACCGGTTTGGAGCGTACCAACACTGACATACGAAGTGTACGAGACCAGTTTGGAGCGTACTAACACTGACATACGAAGTGTACGAGACCAGTTTGGAGCGTACTAACACTGACATACGAAGTGTACGAGACCAGTTTGGAGCCTACTATCACTGACATACGAAGTGTAAGAGACCAGTTTGGGGTGTACTATCACTGACATACGAAGTGTACGAGACCAGTTTGGAGCGTACTAACACTGACATACGAAGTGTAAGAGACCAGTTTGGAGTGTACTAACACTGACATACGATGTGTAAGAGACCAGTTTGAAGTGTACTAACACTGACATACGATGTGTAAGAGACCAGTTTGAAGTGTACTAACACTGACATACGAAGTGTATGAGATGGTACGGTATCAACCAACTTTTGCGACTGCACTATAATCCTATGTACACTATATCTGAAGAATAATTTGACTAAAAATAACAGTTTCTGGCGTTGCTACAGCCGATGTTATGAACATCTCACATAAACTTCTATCTTGAATCTTCAAGTAAAGAAATAAGTTCAGCAATATGAATTCCGTTATCGATCGCAGTAATCTCAACCGTATACTAACAAAATACTTGAATTAATATTTTTTTTTAAATGCAGACCGGTTTTGGTTATACTGTTTATTCTCAAGTTTAGGGTTGACGATTTAACCCTAGAGTAAATTCTTTCAGCAGATTATTGACATACCCCAAAGTCTCTGAATAAATGCTCTCCCTCTCTTGACTCTTTATAAATGAGTTCATATGAGACTTACGAAAATCGTGTAGAGTCTTTTAATTTCTTTTGCAAAAGCACTGAGGATGTCTTTAAAAACACAAAATCTAAATCTAAATACACCCGAATAAGACATCATGGACTCGACGAACTCTTCTACAGCAACCACTTACCTCGTGGAACACCAAGTTTTATGAAAAACATGATGATTTCGAATTATGTGTTGCAATTGTTCATTTCTCACTATCATTATTCAAACTCCAGTTAATCATGGCAATTACAAGTCACAGTTAATTCCATGTTCAAGGGCTTATACGCCAGATAACGATTGTTGTGCAAGATGTCACAAGTTGGGAGATGAATTCACAAAAACCTTGATCCAGGAGGTCTCGTAAGGACATTTTTGTTTCCTTTTCTGATGTGAGGTTGAAAACCTTTGGTGCTATGATACCTGACAGACCTTGATATTCTAAAGGATCTTGGAATTATATATATATATAAATTCTATAAGGTATCAAACAGCATCAAATCCGATTTTTATATTAGAGTTGTCCCCCTTTATATCTTATTGGACATAAATGATCTTATAAGAATGAAATTACGTTTTTATCTAAAATAACCTTTTTAAATACTGCTGCTCATGATAACTTTCAAATTCAGTT